GTGACCAATCCGCCCGTGACTACCAAAACGTGACCAACCCAATCGTGACCATCCGACCGTACCAATCCAATCGTGACCAACCCAATCGTGACCAATTTGACCGTTGACCAATTCGACTGTTGACCAATTCGGCCGTTGACCAATTCGACTGTTGACCAATCTGACCATGACCACCACCCCCGACCACCGCCCCGCTCCAGACCACTGCCCATCCTGGTGACAACTGACCCCAGCCCCCTCCCCTGCACCAGCCCTGCCACTGCACTAGGCTCCTCCACTGCACCAAACCTCTCCCCTGTACGAGCCCCCTCCACTGCTTCAGCCCCAGTCTCCAGGCCTCAGCACCCCTCCGACGAGCGGCCATCAGGATGCTCCAGACCTTGCAAGTCGAAGAAGATGACAAATCTTTGTTATTCCAGAAAAGAAACAAGAAGAAGATGATAGATATGCACTTGATCTGTGATGGCGGAGGCGCATGCAGTTGCTCGGAGACGACAGAGGCGCAGTTGCTCGGTGACGAATACGATAGCCTTTGCTTGACGTCGGAGATGGCAACCTGATTTGTGCGAGGGAGAAGACAACCTGAAATGGAGACAGAAACGATTTCCTTTGGTGCGAACATTTCCTTTGGTGCAAAGAGAAGGTCTCCGCGATGCTACGATGAAGTAGTTCGTCTCGTTTATGTCATTTTCATATCTGGTGCTATTTTTGTCTAGTCAAAAGTTCCAAGTCTTATTTTTGACATTATTCCTCTTCAGGCCGATTCAGCTTTGGGGGCGGAGCTGCTAGCTATTACTTTTGTTACCAAGTGGCTGGCTGAGAAAGGCTATGAGGATTTCATGGTAGAGTCGGATTCTTGTGTTGCTTTGGAGTTCATAGCTGGCAGGGAAACGAGGAGATGGAAAATGGCGATTCAGGAAACCTCACAGCTCTCAATTAGGAAACGGATCCAATTCTTCCATTCACTGAGAGAGAGTAACTGGGTCGCGCATTACTTAGCTGCGGCCAAATCGAAACAGCCTTATAATTTATGATCGGCCCAGTCTTCTGCCAATCCATGCTAAAAGGGCTTTTTGGATGGATTATTTTAGTATTCCCTCTTTTAGATTTTAATTGCTCACACTTTGTGGTTCATGATATCATGGTAAATCACAAAGGATCACAAGTTCGAAATTCATTTCAATTAAAAATATTGAAATTTAACTTTTTTGGGGAAATTTAACAGAACATATACTCCCTCCGGTTCACAAAGATCTTTACACTTTGATTCCACAGGTTTTAAGGAAATAAATTTGACTTTAGTGTAGAGTACATTGTTTGACACTGTTTTGTTTAGATTTATTTACCAAATATGGTAAATAAGGAGGGTAAAATTTAATATGGGACGGCACAAATAAGGAGTATTATATACCACAACATTCTTTTTGTTTTAATTTTAGGAGGACCGAGCTACTATCATCTTTTGGAATTCGAGTCTCTGCTCGGACGACATCTTAATCAATGCGCAACGATCATTTTAACAAAACATACCATCGTATACCTATGTTTAAAAAACCGACCCGACCCGCCCGGGTTGACCCGGAACCCGGTGACCCGGACAAAAAACCGGTTCGGTTTTTTCAAAACCCGGAAATGGTCAAAAACTGGAAAAACTCGGCTGACCCGGGAAAACCCGGTCAAGACCCGGACCCAAGAAACCCGAAAAACCCGGTAAAATCCAGTTTTTGGGTGTTTTTACCAAAAAAAGTAATTTCTTTTTTATTTTTAATGTATTTTTTATACCAATAAAATTGCAATTTTAATACCTTAAAAAGAAAAACTACGTAATATATTTATATATTTATTTAAGAATGAACATCATGCCAAATTATAATATAGATGTACAATAAAAATAAAAATATCATTATATATTTTTATAAGATCAAAATATACATTGAAATATTATAAGAGCGTATTAAATGCTTAATAAGTAGTATTGTTAGAGTATTATTATGAATAACAACTAATTTTTATTACAATTTTATATATAATTATATGTTTACTATTATTATATAGACGTATAATCATTGACCGGTTTTCCGGCGTTGACCGGGTTGACCCACCGGGTCCGGGTTGACCCGTGACCCAGTCATGTGGCCGGGTCACTCTCCGGTCCGGTTTTTACAACATAGTCGTATACCTCAAGGGTTCTTATCAGCTCCACCTATCATCCTCGTGTCATCGTATGCGACTGCCGAGCACCTCGGCCATATGGCAAAGATCTCGATTTGAATTTTTGCAGGTTAAGTTATATGGTTTGCAATTATAAAGTATCATTGTCACTATATTATACATTAAGTTACTGCGTATTACAAATTAATGTGGGCCTGTGGCCTGTGGGTGATAGTTGCATAGTTTAAAATTATTTTCAAATTTTGATATCGAAAGTCCTGCAATGAAATCTTAAAAGATATGTTAAGGTGTTAACTTAAAGGGTGTTTGGAACTGATTCTGCTTCTGCTTCTTTTTTAAAAGCAGAATCAGAATCAGTTTTCAGAAGCTGGTACCCCCCACCTTCTAAAAAAACTGATTCTGAGAGTAAATAAGAGCTCCAGAAGTGCTTCTGGAATTTCACCCAAACACTCCAGCTTCTGCTTCTGCTCCCTGAAGGAGCAGAATCAGTTTTGAGAATCAGATCCAAACACCCCCTTAATCCATTTTTTGCGAACCCCGTATTTTACTTCTTTTTGTGGCCTTCTTCATCTTCAATAAATTTGAGTCATTCACATCTTGATCTACTGGGATTCGGGGTCTCTGCCTTGCTCCCGCAGCAAGGTAGGGTGTCTGATCTAGGTAGACTATCTGATCGAAAGTTCAACAATATGAGATTATCGGTGTCCACTTCTTCCCATCTGAGTATCAGTTGCGTAAGGCACTCTCCTAGTCGAGTAGAGGATCTCAATTTGATCTACTCACGTACAATATTCACTATTCATGTCATTGTTACTCATAATTTTGTTGTCATCGTTACTCATAATTTTGTTAAATTGTATGCACAAGTTACTCCCCCTAAAATTAATTTCTTATTGGTTTTGTACAACTGCAGATCACGCATTTTCCACTTTCTTAATCTGCGTGTCAAATTTAACCAGAAGTTAATATTGGGACGAAGGAAGTATTATAGATTATTTATTCTTTTTACTGTTTTGTAGGATACAATTTTCATTTTTTGAAGAAACAAATTACAATCATTTTCCCAAGTTTAGAATATTACCTTATCATCTTAGGATGTTTTTATTTGGACTGAAATTTGGTGGTATGTTCTGTTTTGGTTTAATATATTCTGATAAATATCTAGTACGGGTATATGTGTATTTTATAACTACGCAAGCCTGATGTGGACTAATTTGAATATTTGATCTAAACTAATCTGGATTGTTTAAGACTAATCTGATCTGAGACTGGAAACAGTCTAAGTAAAATCATCCTTATGTGTACTCATAACTTAGGATGACACATTAACACCTTATCCCTAAAGGCTCAATACTGACTAGACAACTAAATAGAGAATATAAATTGCAATTTGGATCAATATTGATGTACATATAAGTTGTACACTTTGTGTTCAACGTCTCAATTACTTGTGTACATAGCTAACTCTAGTAAACTCGTCGGCTGTGCATAAACAATTAGAGTGGCGTATACAAAAAGTGCACATTTTTTTCTTTTAATTTAATGAAAGACTGGTAAATAACGAGGGAGAAGATAAAACATAACCTACGTTTTGAGGGACGGTGCCACATGAGTAGGGTTGTAAACGAATCGAATCGAATACTGAGTAATACTATTCGTATTCGTATAACTTGATGAATATTCGTATTCGTTTTTGGATATTATTCGAATCTTAAATTAGATTCGTATTTGATTCGTTAATGATATTTGAATATATTTGTATTTGAAAAGTCGAATTCGAATATTTGTAGGGGAAATTTTTTCACACATTCAAATTATCATGTTTTGTATGTATTTTCTTCGATTTTCGCAAATATTTCTATTAACTGAACAATTTTAAAAAATCAACTACTTCAAAAATCAATTGGAAACCCGTTCAAAATAAAGTAAACAATGTAAAATCAATTAATCAAAAAATCAATTACTTAAAAAAACTATTAATGAAAGCACAAAATTAAATAAACTAATAAATTTAAATTTAAACTAACAAATAACTATTTTAGTTATTTTAATTTAAATTATTATAAATTATAAATATAATAATTTAAAATATAATCCATGTAAATACAAATCGAATATATTCGTATAACATGCGAATCGAATATATGTATATTCATATTCGAATTTTATACAAATAACAAAACCAATTTGTATTCGTATTCGATTTTTTCGAATTCGAATCATCAATTTCGAATTCGAATCCAAATCGGATCAAAATTATTCGATTCGTTTACAACCCTACAAATGAGGAGTCGGAATTATGCATTTATTACTCCCTTTGTCCCATTTTATAAGATGTCTTTACTATTCACTTGGTCAACACAAATCACTCTTAATCTCTTACTTTATAAATCAAAATTTTATGAAATTTCAATTTTTTTTGCAGGTTTTGTAGTGATTTTAATGTAGTTTCCGAATGTGTAATATTTATTTTCTAAAAATAATTAGAGTTTACACAGTGATCCGTTTGCTTTATCGTCAGTAAAACATCATAAACCGAAAAATATCTTATAATTCGGGACGGATGAAGTACTTATTAAATGAAGTGGTAGGGTTATTAGTTATTAGGAATTACTTATACTGTGAAGTTATTAGTTATACGGAGTACTTATTACTTTAGCTGTTTGTTATTCGTTAGGCTTGGAGGGTATAAGTCATTCATCGCTTGAATAACTTTCCTTCTCATTTCTGTTACAAAGCCATAAAGTGGTAGGGTCTATTACCAGTAAAAGACTTTAACTGTAAGCACCCTGCCTCTGGCCGGTCATAACAACCAACAACAAAGAATGAACTCAATAAATACAATATATACTCCGTTTTACTGAACTCAAAATTTATAGCAGTAATTAATAACCAAATGAACCAGTTTCACATTACTACTACAAGTTTGAAGTTTTACACTTTTACCCCATCCAAGTCAACCTTTTCAGCCAGAACTTGGTGAAGAAAGAAACCATCGAACATGTATCTTAGTCACACTCTCACCACTACTTTTAGCGGGTGGTCAAAATTCCACCACTGCTCTACAAAACCACCAAAAAAGATAAACTAAAGTAGTTGGCCAAAAACCACTTGGCCTAACAAATTTGGTACCCTTTTTAAACCAGGGCAGCCAAACAAGCCTTAATGGTGAAGGCTGTGTTAAATTTAGCCTTCCCATTCTGACCCTAGACCATTCAAGCCTTAATGGTGAAGGCTGTGTTAAATTTAGCCTTCCCATTCTGACCCTAGGCCACACGTTACATACTATATCGGTCATGTTACTAATATTACTGACCAGAATAGTAATTATAGGTAACTAAATGCAGATTTGTGTTTAATTAGTAAAGCTAGAACTGGCTGCCGGAGTAGGTTTGACCAAAAGACCATCCGGCAGGGGCAACGTTGTTAGACACCACACTCCGGCCGTCGCTGGTGGTGACCCTGAACGATAAAGCTTGTCCATTAAGGTTAGAGTTGCTTTGCCAGTTTTGCCCCCAGTTTCTTGAAAGCGGCTGCCACCCTGTTCTTGAACCCTTCACCTCCACCGCGTGGACATCTCCGGCGCCGCCGACGTTGGTCACCAGCACCAAGTTGAAGAAGGCATGTCCGTTGATTGTGAACCGTATTCCTCCGCTTCTCCTACACGGCACCCTGAAAAAGATGCAATTTTTTTGTTAAAAACTGGTATGCCAAGAATACCCTTCGATTTCTTGAGCCTAAATCAGTCAAATAAGTTAAAGATCATGCCTTTTGTAAGAGACAGGGACGATTCCGGCTCTGTATTGGGCGATGCTTTGGAAGACCGGCTGGGCGAGGTCAAAGTGGTGGCGGGGAGGGTTGCACCACCCGCCGGCATTGCTCGGAAGGCCGTTGTTTGGAGGGCAAAAGTTGGTGGCGGTGACAACTATAGTGCCTTTCAGGCAAGATTTGTCACCCACACACCTAATGGCATAGCAAGATCCACATGCAAGGCCATTGTTGAACAGAGATGTACTCAGCGCTGCAGTTTTTGTACCATACCCTTGGCTGTACAGATTCCCATAACCACAGGCCCCTCCTGCAAAAAAAAAATCAAATTTTGAGTCATTTCAAAGCCAAGAAGGGCAGGGACAAAACCGGTATTTTAAAAAATGTCACATACCCATAGTTCCAGAGGCATCGCCGCCGCCGTAGAAGGTTGCATGGGCGTTGGTCCACCCTCCGATGGGGTTGGCAATGACAGTTGAAGACATTGTGAGAAGGCCAGCCAAGAAAAACACGAAGAAAGCCATAGGGAGAAAATGGTAATCTTGATAGCTTTGGAGTGTGAGTATGGGGGAATGTGAGGAGTTTGGTGGAGAGAATGGGGACGGAATGAAGGATATAAATACACGGGAAATGGGGAGCGGGCTGGGCCTAACTTTGGGCCGGCTTAAAACAGTTATTTTATCATCACTATCCTGCGGGGTTAATAACCACCGCATTTTTAGGGTTGTTGTGGGCCCGATGTCAGGACAAAAGTTAGTAGACCGTAAAATCAATATCTGTTTTTTCGTTATTATTTGTTTATTTTTAACGGTGGAAACTCGGCCGAAATTTTGAAAAAATCTCGGCTCTAAACCGGAAAAGTTATTCCAAGTTCGGCTGGTATGACTTAAATTAGCAGTGTTTGTGTTCCTACGGGAAAAAGGACTCCATCAGTGTTTGATGTGTATGTTCCAAATAATCTTTTGCTTTTATGTTAATAAAAAGGCATAGGGAGGAGTCCTATCAATAATATTTTGAGTTTGTAAATGAATAAATTAATCTGTTAATCTTTCGAGAAAAAAGATCGATTCAAATACTTGAATGAATATCTTTATGTTACTTCATTTTGCCTATTTCCATTACATTGTCTAATTCCTTTTGTTACTTTAAGGATCGTTGATCCTCATTTTTGGCTTATTAAGTTTATCGGTCAATTTTTTCACCTAATATATAACATTTGGTTTCGCGCGCTGAAATGTATAATAATAAAAAAAAGTAAGCTATAAAATACGTTTCTGATCGTAATGAATGAAGTTTCTGTAGATGATCGCTTTAGTTGTTTTCATATAATTTTTTCTTTATGTTATTACTAAAATATATTACCTCCGTCTCACTCAACTTTGTCAAGTTGATGTTAGGTGGGAAATTAGAATAGTAAAAACTGTGTGGTTGAGATTTGTGCAGAGGAGAGAGAAATGAACAGAGCCACAAATTCATTGCTTAAAAGGGAAGTGACAAAATTTTTTGGGACAAACAAAAATGGAAAGTTGGCAAAGTCCTGTGGGACGAAGGGAGTATTTTTTATTTTTTCCATAAAGCAGCAGAATCAGTCAATGCAACCACTTCAACCAGAACTTCATAAATTTCAGCAAAATCAGCCAGTGTGACCACTTCAATCAGAACTTCATACATTTCAGCAGAATCAACTAATACAGCCGATTCGAGTATTACCAAATGGGCTCTTAGTTTAGTTACTAGTTTGTTGTTGTTGTTACTATTACTATTATTATTATTATTATTATTATTATTATTATTATTATTATTATTATTATTATTATTATTATTATTATTATTATTATTATTATTATTTTATAATCATAATCTATATTAATAGTGTTCAAAAAATAATTCAAACTATAAATGATGTCTACAAGAACAAATTAGGGTGAATTCAAATTAGGGTGAATTCAAAATAATACTCGTTTAATTTTATGACCCCTTCTCCCAATTTCATTTTTTCACTCTTCATTTCAGATAATATTTCTATCATTCAACCTAGAGAGAATCAGTGAATCACATATTCTGAAAACCACATTGAGTTTAAATAGGCATTAGTTTAAGTTCATATTGAGAACAAGAGCATGGACTGAGAAAGTAGGAGCACGATATGAGAGTATTATACCGGGTTAGTTTGAATTCACAAATTAAAAAGTATATTAAACCAATATATTATTGTAAATACTGTGACTAGTACAAAACTACAAATTATTTTTATGAACACCCTAGAAAAAATTTATTATTGTATAATTTCTACATATATGAACTATTCTTATGAGTTTCACTTTTATTTAGTGATGTGGTCTTATTTGGACTACTTGATTGAGACAAGGGTAATACTACATTGGCAAATTTTATAAAATTAATTTAGTATTATTGTACTTATCAATTGAACGTGTTTAGGTCCGTTCAAAAAAAAATTGAACTTGTTCAGGTTTTGATCGTGAATTTCACTGATTCTTTTTCTCTGTCTCGGATCCGGCATTCATTTTATGATGCCGGATTTTGTGCAAGGTTGATGCCAGACTTCTTATTAACTAATAGAGGAGGTCGCTTGATCAAAAAATGGCAAGGCGGCGGCGCTCTCGGAACAACACTGCCTAAAATACTGATAAGTATTACAAGCGAGATAACCCATTTGGAGGTGGCTGGTCAATCCTCTTATCCCTTTCCGGTGGCTGGTAAAACCGGGATGCTTCCTTTGGACAAATCTTTTATCACTTCCTGGTGGCTGGTGCCTGGTAAGACCGGGATGCTTGAATTATTTTGTTGCTTTAATTTAAAGAATTCTTGTTTAATTACCTCCCATTTTAGTAACAAGTTCAGCAGTGTTGTTAATTAGTCTATATTGTTGTGGGATTAGCGAATACGATCGATCTTTGTGGGCTAGTTGACTCTATGTCGCATCTTAGTATAGCCTTGAGCTATTGTATTGTTTTACTTCCTTTTACTTTTATAATTAGTAAATAAGTCAAATGGAACTATTGAATACTACCTCCGTCCCTTATTAAACTTCCAAATAGGTTTGGCACAGAGTTTAAGATAGTGGGTATTGTGTGGTGGAGAGTTGTGCAGAGGAGAGAGAAATCTGTAAGAATTGCTGTGAACCACAAATTCTGGCCAAAAAGGGAAAGTGGAAGTTTTAATTGGGACGGACGAAAAAGGAAAGTTGGAAGTTTATTTAGGGACGGAGGGAGTACTATTTTTCTTTTTCTTTTTATAGTGGATTATATCGTATCTTTTCTAACCCCTCCTTAAAATTAATTAAAATAAACAAATAGATTAACTTAGTTATTGAAAAACATAAAGTTGGACGGGTCTAGCGTTGGAGTTTCTTCCGGCTAGGACATAGTTTTGGGGGATCGACACTAGGAGGCTAGTTAACGAGCGTTTTTTTTGGCCCGGACAGATTTGTGCGCAGTTCGTCATGTATTTTTCATCTAACGACGGGCTATTACACATAGCGCGAGCCTTTGGTGAATCAACGACATAGTTTCCCCGAGAAGGTCAAATTGAAGGGGCTGAAAGGCGATTTTGAGGTTGGGATTTCTTAACCAGACAGGAGTGATATTTTGTGTTACGATTTACGGCCTGTTTAGAGTGTTGGGAGAATTTAGTAATGGAAGTGTTAAAGTGTTGACAAGGGCCCGGAAAGGAAGGTAAATGTTAGTGTTAAGTATAAATTAACCATGTTTGGAAGAGTAAAAAAGTAAATTGTTAGTAAAAGAAGTGTTTTCATTTAAATTTACTAAAATATCCTTATGTTTTTAAAATGGTACGTAGTAGTAGGGCTGGGCACGGGCCGGGTCGGGGCGGGTAATGCAAAATAAAATGGAACCGCCGATTCCATTGTACGGTTCGGTCCAGTCCGGATATTACAATTTTCAAAATAGGAACCGGAAATTACCCGGCCCGTTTGAAACGGGTCGGTCCGGTCGGGTCCAAAACGGGCCGGTTCCTGCACGCTACCCAACAAAAGTGAAAGACTCCTTTTTATCCTCACAAATGCTACTGTTACCCCAATTTGTACCTCATTTTGTACTCCCTCCCTATATTTGTGGTTCACAAAAGCAATTCATTAAAATGGAGCAATTCATTTAATGTGTTAAGCTTTTGTGAACCACAAATATAGGAAGGGTGTACAAATGAGGTACCAAATGAGGTACCTCTAGCACAACTCTTTTATCCTTGAGATCAAAGAGGGAACTCTCTAGATCAGTCAAGAGCCTTGGACACTTGGTACTTGGTAGCAGACACAATTCCCAACTTCTGCCATTAGAAAATCCCTCCAAGTCTTCATCCTTAATGGTGTCGATTCCACTATTGTCTAAATCCTGAACGCCTCACTGCAAAGGAAGTTGTTATCTTGTGTGATTGAATAAAAAATGATGTGTTGAGTCACTTGTGCTTCTGAGAGGTTTATTGAGACAAAGGAAAAATGTTGTTCCAGAAGAGAAGAATGAGCAGAAGACCAGCGGACGACGACTGTGCGCCAAAAGGGACAAGACGTCGACAATGTGAGAAGGGCCTGGTTTTATTATATTTCTCTATCTAAAGAGGGTAGTAATTGTCCACACCTCAATACACTCCAAATCGGGTTGTTAAAAAAGTGGACAAATAAGGTGTTGAGGAGGTAATTATTAACACTTCTCAACACTTCTTAATTTCTCTCCCAAACAAGTGTTAATGTAAAACCTTCTCAACACTTCCATTACTAAGACCATCTCCAACAATCACCAAATGTTTCATCAAAATGAGGGATTTGCCATTTTTTTGCTCCAACAGCTACACCAAATGCACCACCATTCACTAAAATGGGGGAGAGAGATTTTGTTTACGCCATATATGGCGCAAGGAAAAGCCTGCGCTATCTTCCTTTCTTTTTTTGTTATTTCAAAAATAACCCAAAGTGTTTAACTATTATAGTTTGGCCCATTTTGTTTATCATGTTCGGATGTTCCTTCTATTTAGAACCCACGGTTGTGTACAATATAAAGGATCGGACCAACATATTTCTCTTTCATAATTTAATTGTTAAATTTAATAAAACTGGTCACAATAACAAATTTAATATTTTTATTTAAATTATAAAGTTGATAAAAAAATACTGATTAATGAGTGAAATATGCGTAAAATATTGATTATAGTAGTATTTTAGTTTGTATTTCGTATTTGTTTAAAAATGAGTGAAATGTCAAAATACATATTAAATGATGGGCTAATGTATAAATATATGATAATTAGATAATTATATATAATAATGGTAAAAAGTTAGTAAAAGGAATAGAAATATATTCCTTTTTGGTGATAAAAATGGTGTAAACTGTTGGACATAAAGTATTGTATGATGTGATGTTTACACCATTTTAGTGATAAAAATGGTGTAAACTGTTGGAGATGGCCTAACACCCTTCAACACTTCATCCAAACAGGACGTTAGAGTTGTAGTGATTCTGCCGTAAGCTTGAGCGATACTATTGGGTGTGGATTCGAGGTTGGAGTCCTCTATCGGACCTTGTTGATCAACTTGCTATCAGGGAGTTTTCTGGCTTCTAA